CCATTGATGATAAGGAGAAGAAAAGATGGGGCCTTTCAACCTCTTTCTCAAGTTCGAGTACTCTTCGAACGAGTGCTCTCCTATCCCTCCTCTGCAACACAGCCTCATCGAGAAACCCGGCCTCTCTAATCTGCCTCCACACCTCCGCCTCCATCTGTTCTCCATCACGATCCTCACCATCACGACGAAACGACAGCTCCTCCGGATGCGGCATCGCGTTGCCAACCATCACCTCTCTACCTTCCCCCTTGCAAGGAACCACACCGCCATAATTCCCAGGTTCCGGTGGGGCAGGCCAATTCCCCCTCGCTGGAACAGCCCTTTTCGAGATAAACCAACCCTTCTTCTGCGACGCATGCATCAAAACTCCCCTTCTTCATAGCTACAAGAACTCAATGAATCGGATATGGGAGGGAAAGAACCGAGGGACCAAAGTTCTACATGGAAAAAGATTGTGAAAATGGTGAATGAAACTAATTTGGCCGTTGGAAACCCTAAATTGGATTATTTGGAGCCCCGAAATATCTCTTGGTTGGAGAACCATTAATTGTTTTTGGACAGGATGGAGAGAGCTCGATGAAACCCAAAAAAAGGACGACGGACCAAACGACTATGTATAACGGTGGCACTAGAACTGGTGGCAATGTTGTGATTTACACGCCCCCCGGTTTGCCTTACATGGATACCATTTCTTGACGGCAACGTGAAGTTGGATGATAATTAAATTTCAAATTTAACTAAAAAATTAATTAAAATGAATTCAAACTTGATCCACTACTTATCACAAAATTACAATAGGATAAGTGTTCCATGATGAAAAATAGTCTACCAACAAAATATATATAAAACGGTAAATAGACAAAGAACGGATGGCGACAAATTTGCCCAGAAAAGTGTATGCAATAAGTGTACAAAGACACATAATATGAAGACACATCAATCCTGGACGTTTCCATGAACAGAAGGATCAATTGTCGTAGCATTTTAATAGAGCCTCTTAGATAAATGGTATCAAGACAATGCAACGACCAAATGGCTATTTGCCAATGCCAAATATGAGGAAAGAGACATTGGAGAACTAGAGATAATGAGATTTCGTTAATGAAAATGACAGTGAAAAAGGAAAGAACAATACGGGATTTTGTTAATTACACCCACTTAGTGTACGTCAAACCCTTACCCTATCCATACCAAGGCTCTCAGGAACCCGATCTATGGGGTCCGTAGTTCCATCTGGATACGAGTTGTTTAGGTTACAAAAAACAGTACGAGTTACGCTACAATATTAATATATGTGGTTTACATAAGTTAATATAATTAAAAAAATAAACGTCACCAATTAAAATGTTGATATAGTATTACCTGATTATATTCCAAACAATTAAATCTTACATAGTAATATGTATCAAATGATGCAAACATATAATTGAAGCTTACATAGTAAAAGAAATGATAGTGGAAACGAAATGAACATTTTTGGTCAAATTTTGAACAAGCCATTGCCCAAATTGCAGCAGTAAGCAATAGGGCAGACTCTTCGAGAAGGAAATTTTACTGAAGGACAACATACAGCACCTATGACTAGTTCTAGCGACATAGTGAGACACCCAATTCCCAATCATCTGCTGGAAGCATCCGTGTACGTCCATGGAAGCTGACGACGGAATCTGTAAGAAATCACGGTGGTGATACGGGTTAAAGAAATGAAGCCGTGCTGTGCTTTATTTCATCTGTAGCAGCGACCTTAGAAAACTGGATGATTGTTCTCAATAATAGCCAGCGCTTCTGAGCCCTCCTTGCTCGGTTTCAGCAGCCTTGCTTACGTCGCCAAGAAACACAAGACGACCTGTGGAAATTTCAATCCATTTTAAGTATGTTGATCATGGATAAAAGTCCATATGCATTCATTAGTTCTTTATTCATATGGCTTCTTTTCAAGGGCATTATAGGCATTCTACTCTCACAAGGCCAATGAATCTGATTGTAACTTTGAAGAATTTATACTAAAATGTAATTTAATTATTTACTGATTTCTAGATAAAAGCTTTAATATTATTGCAGTAATGAAATAAGTAAATTAAATTGTTGCATTTTTATCAAGGCCCTAAAACTATTAACTGTTCAACATGTAGTTTCGATCTGGGGCATTAAAATCCACCCAAGCTTTCACTATGACCGGTTGCTTTCAAATTGATCTATTGACAAATATTTGGGTTCTCACTAGAAGCCAAAGTCCTATACTACAAAACGCAAGATAACTAATTGTAACTCAATAAGCATGCCCCTTCCTCATTGGGTCATCAGTTCTCTACTACCTTTTTCTGAATTAGTATACTTGAAGGCTAAAGATGACTGGTAAGCTTTCAAACTTTGAAAAGCAAAAAATTAAGGAAAGAAAAATATCATCTGCACGGATAGCAACTTCCCTTATGCGCCTGACAAGTCCAGTAATTGGGTCACTGAAAACTTTAGTCTCCAGATTGTCCTCCAAATACAAAATCGCCCTGTAATAAAGGAAGTAGCAAGTGTTTACCATTGACACTCATATATTTTAAGATTTTATTACTAGATATTTTATATGTTTTCTTATTTATATATGATCCGTACGTGAGCACGAAAATTAAAAAGCAGAATTAATGAAAAAATTATTAACTTATGGATTTACTTGGATATATTTGTATTTATTTATTTATGGTTATATTTGGAAATATTTATATTTGAATATTATTGTGACATATGAACTTTGTGAATATTATTATTATTATTATTTATAATTTTTAATAATAATAATAATAATTTTATTTTCTAAAATAAAATGGCAAATGTGTGAGCTCTTTACCTCTATGAAAATTTTTGTCACTACTTCTATTTTATCTAAACGAGGAATAAGATGAAGATAGAAGATAAAAGATAAAAGATGAAAGTAACGGAAGAAGCATTCCCCTCACCTCCTCCAATTCTAATGACATCCATACTCTTGTAATATAAGAGAGATCAAGATTTTAAATCTCTAAAACTCTTTTGTAAAAATATAGGTAAATAATCGTATATTGGTGTGAGATTCGTCCAACTTTTGTTATTATGTTTTGTTTAGTGGATGGGTCAAAATAGCGACATTATCCATGGCAATGTTCATCCCATTTGTCAATTATTATTTCATTATAACGCTGAGTTGAGCCTTCTTTAACGATTTTTAAGTGATATTATATGAGCGATATGAAATCCAAGAAACATGTCATATATGCGATCCAAGCGCTCAGTGGCTCAGCTCCTCTCCCGCAAATCTCACCGTCCATAGTCCCATCTGCAATGCACGAATCTCAAAGCGCAGGGATGCGCTCTTTCTTGCCCATCAAGTATACCCACGCCGAGGAAGGATTAAGAGGGCCGCCGTCGACCGCAAAACCAAAACGAAGCGAGAGAGAGAGAAAGCAAGTTAGCCGAAGCAAAGAGTGGAGAAGGCAAGGATGTCGGCGAAATCGGTGATCGAGCACGAGGTGGTGGCGAACCATGACGCCCTCCGCTTCGGGTTGCACGCCGTCAAGGGCGACGTTGTCGGATCCCATCCCCTTCAATCCCTTCGCGAATCCGTAACCCACCCTTCCCGATCCCGTCCTTCTACCGTTTTCGCTTGATTTCCTTGTTTTGGCTTCCGATCGTCCGGGTTTCTACTGGTTTCTCGAATTTTAACCTTATGCTGACTCTAACCCTAATCCTTATTTTGTTGTCGTTGGTGTGTCTTTGGGTCTGATCTCGACCAGACGGGTAGAATCTGGGAGGAGAAGAAGCGGATGGGGTTGGACCTTACCTACGGAACGGCTTTCAATCTGAGGAGAGATCTCGATGCCCAAATTCTCTCCAGGTACGTATTATTTTCTCAGCAAAATCACAGTCACGATGTGCAATGTCGCAACAGCCACTGATTATGAATGTCATATTGGTACTGACTATTTGATCTGGTTATTAGAAGCTCAGAGTAGCGAGTTGTATTCTATGCTTTCTCCTGCACTTGTTCAGGCTTCTAATGGTGGTCTGCTGTATATTATCTATGGGGGTCTTACTTGATTGAGTGAAATGTACTGAATCGAGAGAAAAATAGCGCATATTTATGGTTGAAGTTTTCGTCTTATAGTTGTAGCAAGGCTGATCAGAAACATAAGCATGGGGATGGGTTTGTATGGCGGTGAAATTGTAGGTGAAAAAGTTTGTATAGTATTGTTTCTCCGTCTTTTTTTTATTTGATTCAGAACGTTTTAATGAGTGGAAA